GCTCTGCCCGTAAGGCGCCATAGCCCCTTGGGTAGGCAAACCCGCCCGCACCTGTGGCTTTTCTGCAACACCCGGTATAGTGACCGCGGCGCGGCGGCGCTGACTCTTCCGCCCGCCCTTCCCCCTCCGCCCCGCGCTGCTCTAAGTGGTCTCCTCGCCGTCGACATGAGGAGTGATTTCTCCTTCCCCGCCTCATTACCCTGAGCGTGATCCTGTTCAAACAGATCGGCTTTCCGTCACGGGCTGTAATGGATGGCAGCAGCCCGGAGCAGCCCGGCCGGCGCGCACCACCCTACCCCTCTATCCGCTCACCACAGAGGTGTGTGGGCGAAAACAGTTGCGGTACTGAAGGGCGGAGGGAGAAAGGGGCGACGGCAACACAGGTCGAAACACAGGTGCTACTGCCCTGCACACTTGTGACTGTATGGGTAGTGGGGACCGGGTGCATCGGGTTGCACTTCCAACCCCGCACCACATTTGGTAACCTGCATTTAAAGTTGAAGTTGATGAACCTCTGCGGCCTGAATCTCGCTATGTCTCGTATGTCTCACCGCCGCTGAACACGATGGAAGTCTGGCTGGGTTTTGACGATAGGGATGATTGCTCCTTAGTGTCGCAGTATCGCACTCTAAGATTATTTTTATTCGACTGGTGAATGGTGGACAGTCCCGCGGACGAACCGAATGCGGCGCGGACGACCCTCCTTCGACTTTGCTGGGCAGACAGACTTCATTCATCCGCTTCCGAGAAGTAAAGTCGGCTCTCTGCTGGGGGGAAGGAGGGATGGAGGGAGGGGGTTCGGGCAGGGGGAGAGGCGCGGGCCTCGCGAGCCGATCGGATCGGCCGGGCCGTCACCGTCATGGCAGCGGCGCGAGGCCCCGCGCCGTTAGGCCTGGTTAGGCCCCGCCCCACCATTGGCCGGCGCGGCCGCGGCACGCAGACCCCGCCTCTCGCCCCGCTCTCGCGCCACTCCGCGGGCTCCGCGGCCCCGGCCAGAGGCCCCCCCGGCGGCGATGGTGGCAATGACCCCGGCCCGGCTGGCTGGATACACTTGACATCGCACGCCGCCATCCCGTCGTATTTACATGCCGATGTGAGTGTGTGTGTGTGCGTGTGTGTGCGGCGGATGCAAGTGATTGCGTTTGGGGGCGGGGGAGGTTGTGCCCTGTGCTGTTTGTCTGGTTGTCCTTCTTTGCCCTGCTTACCGCCGCGTGCTTTTCATTCGCATGTTGAAAGGATTTGCGTTCCAATCCAAGACAGTCGGACGCGCCCGCGACGGAGACTTCGAGTGTCGCGAGCTGTCCCCTCCTCCTCCCCGCCCCCGCCGTCGCCCTAACTGCTCCAAATATTTCCCAACGTGGGCAGTGTGACGCGGCGCTGACGCGGGCCGGGTGTTTACTGTGTTTACTACGCAGTGGCGGACAGCTCTGCTCACCGCCATACGTCGGTGATCGCCGCGATGCGCTCATCGACCTATTCTCGGGGACGATGTCATCCTTCTTCCTGGGCGTGACGAGAGCGACAGGCGACACCCTTCTTGGACGAACAGGTCTGAAGCACGTTTGAATCAGGGTCGCGCCCGACGGTTTTTGTTCTTCTCCTTCTGGTCCAGCCGAGCCCCGGGAGTAACCCGTGGAAAAAGAGAGACAGAGATAGCTACCCGCGATTTTCTAAAGTGTTTGAAGAGAGACGACCCTGGTTCGAATGCGTTTGAGGATGCGCGCCACAATCGCAACGGCCGTGTCACTCGGCAGCCAATCACAGATCAGTTGTCACTCGCTCGCCCCCGGGCCCGGACAGGTTTGCAACCGGCGCACTGCACCGGCTGCCGCCCGGCCGGCGGCTGCGGCAGGCTTATTGGTGTGAATCGTTTGAATTTGTTCAATCCTGGATGGATTTAGTGGTGTAGTGTGCAAGTGTGTGTTGTAAAAGTTCGATTCCTCTACCGCTCCAACAAGCTCCAACTCCCTACCTACATTCTATCATATTGCTTACATTGATATCGTCTCAACGAATCGAATATCGGGTGAGTATTGTTATAAACCTTTCGCTCTGACTTACATCGAGAAAACCCTCGCTTACTTGGAATAATAGGTAACCCGTTCGTGACAATGCGCCAGTCGAGTGATTTATTTTTGACTGTCTACCCAACCGCCTGTCGGGTTTTGAGGTTAGGACGAGGGCAGCTTGATGGGTTTGTGATCAGCTGTGTGTGTGTGTGTGTATGCGTGTGTGCGCGCGCGCCTGTGCCTGCGAGGAAGGCCTAATAATTCCGCTTTTCTCTAAAATCTGTTGGTATAAACTTAAATGTTTTAACTATTTTGTTTTGAGCATCGGCAGTGTGTTTATTTCGTGGTCCATGGGGCACACTGTGCGCCTTCTTGGTGGCTCATAACACGAGCACGCCAGCACGCCATGGACTACACACGATGCCAAGCCATGCATCATGAATGTTATGGCCTGACGTCATCTGACTGTCATGTCGTCGACACGACGACAAAACATTGCGACCCTATGTGGCGCCCGGGCGCCCGGCCCGGCTGGAAGTGGAAGTGGTGTGGCGTGTGTGAGTGTGTGTTTGTGAGTGTGTGTGTGTCTGTGTGTGTATGTCTGTCTGTCTGTCTGGGGGGGGGGGGGCAGCGCAAGGAAGAAAGCTGAAGCTGACCACGAAACTCAGTTGGGGGAGAAAGCTGGAAAGGGAAAAGTCAGATGAAATCAGAAGTGGCCATATTGTGCTGTGGTTTAGTTTTAGTTTTGATTGTGTAATAATTTATAGGCGCAACTCCATTTCCTTTGCAGGGTTAGGGTATCTTGGTGAGGGAGTGTATTAATTTGAATGAGCTCCCGTGTTGCAGGTTTGCGTACTCCGTCGCCCGTAAAGGTGTCATGACTCGCGCGACCCCAAAGAGGAGTATGCAGTTCCGGAACACAGAAGACAGAGCCCGCTTCAAATCGTCCACGCCTAACGCAGCCCTCGGTAAGTTCTACCATACATAGTTGTGTTCGTATTACCATCCCACAAGGTTCAGAGCCAGATCGCGGATCGCCAGCGTTAGTCACAATCAATCAACGCTAAGTCAATATCGATCTCTCCTGTAAGCTGATCGCGCTAGTGGTGCCGCCGCATAGGCGGGGGAAGGGGCGGGGGTGACTTTGACCCCACAGTGATGACCTCTGCGGGGCGGGGTGGGTGCCCGCACCTTACACCTACCATCTGCATTTTTGAGGGCGTGCTTGGGAGGTTTGTGGAAAGAGAGGGAGGGTGGGGAGTAGGTGGGGGGTATTACATTGCCGCGCCACCCAGATCTGTCTGGTCCATCCCACCCTCTTCTCGCCCCCCAAGCATGAAGGGAATAAAAGTCCTCAGCGGGGCGGGCTGGGCCGGGCCGAGGTGTGGACTGAGGCTCAGCAGACGCCCCTCCTCCCCTCACCCCCTGTCGAGCACAGGTGCTGCGCGCTCCGCTGGGCCAGGCGGCTGGCAGGCTGTGTCGTCGGGACATGTCTCTGGCCGCGACTGACGGCGCAGACTTTGGAATGACTAGAAATTTATTGACACTTTTGAATTGAAGCAGAAAGCGTCACAAATGCCAAAGGTGGTGCAAACGAGTGCGAGTGAATGCTGTGCAGCTAATGAGTGGGGACCGGCCAACCTCGGCGTTACTCTGGCGCCCCCCCCCCTCACCCCCACACCCCGCGGGTCTGCAGATCAGTGCCGGGCGCGTAAATGCCTGTAATGGACTGGATGGATGGAGGTGTTTTATAGCCCATTTTTTTAGAGCGAGGGAAAAATGAGAAGGATCTTCATGGGAACCTCGTTGGCGGCAGCGCAGCGCGCCCGCGCCAGACCACTCCTGAAGACCTGTTGCTCAGCCACCAGCCATCCCCGATTTGTCGATTCCAGGCGCTCCCTTTCCCACCACCACGCGCAGTTCCCGCCCTCCTACAATCACCTCATCGCCTCGCTCGTTTCCCAGCGTTCTCACGAGCGTCTGTCAGCAGTCGGCCCAAAGC